TTTCTTTGCAAGTATCGTTTAAAATAAAAACTAGTTAGCACAGGCAGAGGATTCATGCAGATTGAGGGTACAAAATAAATCAGTCTGTAACCATCGTGTGAGAGCGTCACCTGTTCTCTGAGCTGGTGTATCTCAGCTGTAGCAGCCTTCAGCCTGCCAGCATCTCTGTCCAGCATCTGCTGCTTCTCAGCAAACCACTGCAGCTTCTTCTTAAGGGCTGTCACGTCCTCCTGGTGCCTGTCCTCTAATGCACGCATCTCAAAGGTCTGATTTCCTAACACGTTCAGGAGAAATCAGTTCTTACTCATATATACACAGCAGGTACAATAAGTATTGACCATGTCACCAGTTTTCTAAGTAAATATATTTCTAAAGGTGCTACTGACAAGAAAGCTTCAGCTTAATCCCCACATTACAAGAAATCAAACATAAATGTCCACAGATTAAGGTATGTGTAAGAATGAGAGACACAGACAAGTCACAGCTGAGCTTTATCAGCACTTAGAAAGCAATCCTGCCTTTTTATAGGCCAGATGGGACCATCAAGAAATCATGATGGGTAAAAACAAATACTCTAGCTCAAGACCGTCACAGTCCTATTGTTGTAAAACATCCTGATTGGTTACAGAAGAATTTCTAAAATCCTGAAGGTTCCAGTGGCCAGCGCCTGGTCATGGCCGGTCCTCCCCACAGAGGAACCGAATTATCGCAGAGCCAGGGGGCACTGGAGGAGAGCTACAGAAAGACCTGGAATCCTGCAATTGTTTCAAAGAACGCAATAAAAACATGGCCTGTATGCACAATACTGTTCATTACTGAAGAAAAACCAAAATGAAACATGTTTAAATTTTGCTGAAAAACAATCAAACAAGCCTTTGAAATACTGGGAGAACATAGTCGGGTCAGATGAGACCATAGTTCCACTCGTTGCATGCATAATAAACACCATACCAACAGGTATGCACCACCAAGGTCTGGGTGGTTCAGCACGTGACACTGGAACACTTCAGGATGAAGGAAAAATGTGCCGACACATTCCTGATAGCGAAGAAATGACAGTAGATGTAGAGACAGGAAACTATTGACTGGCTTCAGAGAAAGAAATGAAGTGTCTCGCCCAGCCAATCACCTGACCTATATCCAGAACTAAAGGTCAGAGGTCACAGAAAGGGCCCGCGCAGCACTTTCAAGTTTTGAAGACTGTTTGTGTGGAAGTTTGGGCCAAAATCCCAGCCGAGCACACCTGGGAATACTTTCTCCACACAGGAGACGTCGTGAAGTCTCAACAAAGGCTTTTTGTGCGACAGTTAAGTAAACATCAGTAAGTATAAGTAAGTACTTTTCAGTGTTGCAGTAATCCTGACAGCATGTGATGCTTTTCTTTGTCACACA